CTTTTTGAACATGCTACGTACCGATAATATCTGCAAAGAAAGTTTCACGTCGCATAGCCTCAGCTTTTTTGAAGTAACAATTTTCGTGAGGAGTAGTTGAACCATTGAACCAATTTGTGGCGCCGCACCTTTTTCTTGCACGACCATACTGTCGACAACGATGATGGTGTACGGTAAGAGGGTGATTAGTGGATACTGTAATTGTACAGTGCCCTCATGGGAGTTCGCGCATCAAGAGATTTGATAAGTTGTGTCTAAATTATCTTTGACCTGAACAGTAGCTGAGGTTTGATGCCACTGTAAAGGAGTGCTTTATATGGTGTTGGGTGAAATAATGCACAAGCTACATAGGTAAACCCCAACGTCATTTGAAATGAATGTTTCATAACAGAGTATTGAATACCAGTGCAAAGGAACGCAAACCAAATAGTACTGTGTTGCCATGTTGAGAATAAGGTTGGTTTCTTGCTTAAGTCTCAAAGCATTTAAATTCGTATTTTTTGATCTAAAATGTAATCTTATTGTCATAATTCATTCTCTCAAACTCAGTAGGTTGAAGCCCACCAAATCATCTTTGTGACCAGATTTTGAAAGAAAAAAGTCAAAGATCAATATCAGGTTGTCCCAAAAGTAAATTCCTTTTTTGAATAATTCAAGCTGTTTTTGTTTTCCTAGCATAATTAGGATATCATTCGATAGGACAGCTCAAGCTCTAAAATGGCCAAAGGTCCGCCTAAGTCGCCTTCCATTTAAAGTTTGAAGCCAAAATCGAAAAAAATGTCACCTAAAAATTGGATTTTTGGAGAAACCCTACGGATCTTCAACTTGGTTATTATACAGTAGGCACATATTAGTACTCAAATATGCCTTTACTGGATTTTTCCGCGCATAGAAAGCGAGAAAAATAAGATAGTCTAAAAATGGCAAACTCTGCTCCCAGCCCCTCTTACATATGCCATTGTATACTACAAGAACTAAGTATAAACATAAAATCTCGCCCCTGGATGTGCTCTTATAATCGAGAAATACCGAGTTTTACATAAAAAACCCGAAAAAGTGCCATTCTGGCACTTTTGGGACCCTATTTGTTTCTCAATTTTGACCCCCAGAAAAAATACACCAAATACATGTTTGGGTTCTACTATGTGTTTACTATATAAAGACCAAGTTGGAAGTCCGTAGGAATCTTCTGGAAGGAGATCCGATTTTTAGAGTAGCTGAAAGATTTTGATTTTTGGCTCCGAATTTTACCTAAATTATGAATTAGGTGGATCTTTGGTAGTCTTTTTGTAGTGATTGCTCCGCTCTATCGAATGGTACCATAAATCTATCAAAAAACAAATACAGCTTAAATTTGAAAATGGAGTTTACTTTTAAGACAACCTAATAGAAGAAACTTGGAAACTCCCAAAGTCAGACCTTTCTCAAACTCGATCCATTTAATCAGAGCGGCTTCCAAATTTTCTCCCACAGAAAACTCTATGGTGCAGCAAAATAAAGGGGATGTGATCCGATTACACATATAAACACATGTGAAAGCCTGCACATTAGCCTATTCTCTACCCACTGTGCTTGTTCTGTAATGACCGCAGTTGTTAGAAACTCTCTCAAGCACCGATTCAATCTATCTACAGCACTGAGAATGTCGCAGTTGTTCGCCTCGAATCGTTTCCACAACAGGAAAGTTGTTGTAGGGTAATTTTTGACAACAAAAAGTACTATTTTTGGTGAACTTTACAATCATCACACAGTATCTGGATCCATCAAGGCTTGTGTCTTCCTAGTAGTGCAAACGTTGAGAGGGTTCAAAATGTCTTGATTGCAGCTCACTTTATTATTATAATACAGGGTAGACAAGCTTGCAGATGCCGGTCTTTATCCCTTAATGATACATCCAAGTCTAAGGTTTCCTGTATTGGGTAGGACCATAAGTCTTGCTCCACAATTCTTTGAAATTCCGTATTCTCCTTCGGGTTTAATGAATCAGTAATATTGTAACTCAAAAAGAGGAAAACTTCGAAGCAAGAATCACCATTGACATATCGCGACAATAGAAGCTATTGAAAGTAAACATTTAAATTACGTTTCCAACTTTCAGTCTTCAAAAATGCTAAAATATCTAAAAATTTCTGATTTTACTTTTAATTTGGATTTTATGGCTTACGCTTTCTAACTAAAATAAATTTGTGGTGAAGAAACGTTCCTACGAAAAAGAAATTTCCGTATTTTTATTTTCTATTTTGATATAGTTTGTTATAAAATCTCTAATGCATGTTCTAACCTAACACTTTTTTCTGCTTGAAATGAAGCTGATTTCTCTTACTTTTAGCAGTTTCGGCTTCTTGATACTATGCGTTGATCGTTTTGTACACTTGTAACTCGACTCATATAAATGGAATTTCAGTGCTAAAGTTTTAACAACCAAACAAAAATAAGATTTTGTTAGAGATCTCCTATGCATGAACTAGCAGAGTTTGCTGCCTTGAATACAACCTTCTATCTTGAATTTATTCGCAAGATTTTAGCGAGACTGTCGTTGAAATAGCGCTGATAAAAGATTCTCATCTTTGAAAAATCATATCTAATCTCATTATTATCATTAAGTGATTCAATACCTGTGAAAATGCCAGTCATTGTCCTTGCCTGGAGATAAGCTGGAGTCAAGCTTTATGCCATTTATGGGAATCCTAGAAAATATTTGAAGCCTTCTTGTTATTTTATTATAGAAAGATCTCCTTGTTTTGATTTTTTGATCAACAGAGATTGTTGATACGGCTATGTACCCATCTTAGATGTGGACGTTTATACTCTTCTGGCTACGCAATGCTTAGACTGCAAATGCTAAACACTGAATCCGTCAATGCTTTTGTATAAAGAATGAAATACAAATAGTTTCTCGCTAGCAACAAAACACGGTTTTATCTCCAAATAAGGAGAGAATAGGTAGAGGATCTCAATTAGGCACCTCCTCCGCGAACTACTGGTCCCAACACGATTCACAATAGTAAGACGAAAGGACCAGCAGCCCACGGAGAGGTGCCTAATTGAGGTGTTCGTTCCTCTATAAAGTGATTATTCTTAAATAATGCTTATCAGAAGCAATAGAAGTACCACTGAACTACTATATGTCCATGTTTTCTGCTAAGAAAAAGTGTTTCACGTCGCATGACCTTTTGAAGAAATTTTTTGTGGGAAAAAGTCAAGCAAATAGACGAGTGAGGCTTGTAAATCATTGTACATATTACCATAGTCTCTCGAGAGATGGGTGGTGTATGGTAGGAGGGCGATCGCACTTTGCGATTAGTGGATACTGTAACTATACAGTGCCTAGCATAGCTGTCAGTTCACTATCGAACTCAATTGTAAGATACGTTATTCTATGACCTGAAAGAAAACTGAGGATTCATGTCACTGTATGAGGAGCTATTTTGTAGTGATCACGTAAAATGAGCGTTTTCACAGTTGTGAGAGGCGTCGTCGTTATTTTCACAAGCTAAGTAAACTCAAACATCATTTGGAATGAATGTTTCACGATAGAGTACTGGATAGACCAATGCAAAGAAACCGGAACAAATACTTTTTCCTCATGATGAAGATAGGTAAGGTTTCTTGCCTTCTCACCTTTTTGTCTCAAACTGACCAACAAATTCGGAATTATTGCTTATAGAAATGTCATTTATCAATTTCACTTCCTAAACATGCTCTATAGGCGCCCACCACTTTTTTTGAATCAGATTTCGAAAGCAAAAATCAAGGGCCGTAGAAGAAATTTGGAAACTCCAAGAATTCTTTTCTCCAGTACAACCCATGTAACCAAGCAGCTTTCAAACGCTCTGTCATGGAATTTCCATGGAGCAGCAGAATAAACCCGAGCTGATTCAATTACATATAGACACATGTGAACAGCCTACCCATTAGCATATTCTCTACCCTGCTTGTTCTATTATGACCGCAATTGTTAGAAACTCTTTCAAGCACCAACATAATCTTCCATAGCACTAGGAATGTCGCTACTGGTCACCTCGAACCATCTCCAAAACAGGGAAGTTATTGTAGAGAATTTCTTGACAGTAACACATCATTTTTTCTTACTTTATGAATAACGCAGCTTTTGGATTCAGCATGGATATTTGTGTCTTAGTTGATTAATTTAAATATTAGAAGGTTTTTGCGAATGTCTCAGCTGCAGACTTTCTTCAAACGAGGGTAGAATGGCTGAACCCAGTTTTTTGTAGCATTCCTCATGTACTTTCTTTGCAGAAATAAAGCTGCTTTCATCAGTTTTTATAGTTTTCTAAGAGTATCGGCTTCTTCTTAGTACATTAGTTAATCATATCGCCCACTGTCAAGTCGATAACTCACTGAATGAAATTTGCTGCAAAACTTTCTTCTTTAATCAAAAAAGTAGAGTGGACCTTGGCCCAGAAATTGGTTCGAGTCTTCCTTTGATTCAAAAAGTATTGTTCGATATATAAGAGAGCAGCTGAAATGCTGCTGGTTCGAAAATTCTTAATTTCATATGGTCATATGTAATTTTTTCATCATTACGTTGAAGTAGAACTCAATCAACTTAATGTGTTCGGAAGTGTCTGCCACTGTTCAAAACTACATGGAAATAAGGTGAAACTCTGACAATGAATCTAGCTTAGACTGGCGAGTTTGAATGATTCCGGTTACGAGGAGGTTAGATTGCAAATGCTAGACACTGACTTTGTGAATAGTTTAGAAAGACTGAAAAAGTGTTTACGCATCATTCTTTATTAGCAATAAGACGAGAATTTTTATCCAAAAGAAAAAAAGCGACTACCCTACATCATGCATTTGACAGATACAAAAAATATGTTCATGTATGAGTAAGGTAAGCTGAGACACCGACGCTCCCAGCGGATTATTTACACGCGAGCACAAACAAGGTTGCTTACCAGCCTTTGGTAAATACTTAGCCACCAAACAGGGATTTCTTATGTCCTGAGTCTTATTGAATGTTAATTTGATTTCAGGCGCTTGGAGCAAGTTCTTCATGTGCATCCGGAGAAGTACCAGCATGCCGACCGACTCAGTCGCTCTCGGAATGACACATCCAGTGAGAAGGAACGCAGTTCCAGCGCCGATTACACACAGTGAGTCATTCGTCGGGCTTTGGGAAACATTGCTTACTTACTATTAGTCATATCTTGGGGAATTACAATGGTCATTGTTTCTGCAAAATTGACACGAACAATTTTTATTTTTGCGCATCGGATCGCTCCCTATATCCCACTGACCAAGTTTCGGATAGCAATGCGCTACCGTAACCTATTACGATGCGACGAAACTGTAAAATGTCCAAGGTTAGTTTGCGCCTATGCGGAATTTTGCACAATGCTCAACATCATTTGCGACGAATGGGTATTTATTATGATGACCAAGCAAAGGTGCACTGAGTATACTTGAGATAATTCAAAACTTTGCTTACATTTTTCTTCTCAAAGCTCAGAGTTGTAGGGTAGGACTATATGTGCCGAAAGGAGAGGGGGGGGAGGGCTCCTATGCGGACATCTGCGACAAAGCGCGCAGCTTCGTATCATACAGGCATACAGATTTGTATCAAATACCTGCGCGGGGTGAAGCCTATCGGCGGCATATAATCCACACCCAAAGTTGTACAACTGCAGAGTACTTACATAATGGGTAGTGGGCAGGACTCGGCACGAGCTGGCACCAGGAAATTTTCAAAACGAAGTCCCCTTTGACTTTCTCAAAATTTTACGAAGTTCCCTTTGACACTCAACGATATCCCCTCTAAAAACCTGAAAAATTCTCTAAAAATCCCCCGAAACGTCGACTAAAAAAAAGGTCGCCAATTTTTGACGTGTCTTCGCCCACAGAAACGAAACCCCCTTTGCTTTTTGCCCCAAAAACGATATCCAGCTTGCCCCGTGCAGGCTGGTGCCAGGCCCTGGTAGTGGGTAAGCGTGACCTTATTTCATCTGGAATAGGAGTGATGCAACAGTATAAGTCTGTTTCTTCTTATTGTTAGCCGAAACTGTGGGTGAAATCATATCCTACTGGTGCATTACAGAAAATAGAAAAAAACTTCTTGAGAAGAATAAGCGTGTTAGTTTTGTACCTGGCTATTGACAAGGTTCTAAGTGGAAAAACACTTTTACAAGACGTCATTTCGATTCTGCAAAAGGCTAGAAAGTTTGACCGCTGATTGTCAATGAGGGCTTTAACGCTCCCGAACCTGCATTACACTGCAAAACCAACTTGGATAAGCAGATTGTGTGAGACATTACATTAGGCATCAAGTTTGGATGTAAGACGAATCGTATGTATATGCGAAAGGGAATGTAAGACAAGAAAGTTATTTGGTTGTTTCACAGCATTTCTCTGCATAAACTGAAAGTAAGCGAGTTTGTGGAACAGAAGTTCGCCCACTTCTTTTGTATAGACATTTTTAGATTAGATAGTGTCCAGGCAAGTCGATTTTCTCATCTTCCTGGATAGAATTTGATTGAGCAGTCCCGATTTTAAGCCATTGCTCTAACGGCTGCTATGAGTTCTTATCTTTCGCTAAGTCGAGAATTCTTTTCTGAGAAGGCCGATCACCCCCTCGAGTAAGGGCATAAGGTTAGGGTAGTATTTCACTGCCATGTATGGTTCTTGCGCCAAGCCCTTGCACTCACTATCCACGCATGGGAGTTACAAAAATCAAATCAAAATTTTCTTATTCTATTAAAACGTCATTTCTAGCAGTTCGAAAGCCGTATCATTTCATAATTCTAGAAAAGGTATCATTGATACAGTCGAGTCATTTCATATGATCATGTGTGTCACTGCACAAGTTGTCCGCCTTTGGCGCCCTCATCCTAGATTTTAGGAACAGACAGCCCTTCTTCTAAGTATTTCCGATGTTTCCTTCATGCCTTTTCTCCTTTTTGGGTACTAATCTTCACAAAGTGATGTAAGCGATAGCAATCGAACGGTCTTGCGTTTTAGGGATTGCAGTCAGGATGCACGCCAAAGGTGGACTGCGTGTGCAGTGACACACATGGTCATATGAAATGATTAGACTGTACCTTTTCTAAAATTATCTATACGGCTCAGTGATTGCGTTTAGTTCTCAAAGTAACCAGCTAAAGAAGGTCATCACTTCGAATGGGTGACGCAGTGAGATAAGCACAAGCTTATCTGGCAGCAGCATCAGCAAATAATACTTGTACGCATTTGCACCTTACTTAGCAGATTGCGTCAATAAATCTCCTGAAGTTACGAAATAAGACCATAAGACTTTGAGGGACTTTGCTTAATATAAATATAAAAGTTTGTCTGCCGACAGAGTAAAGTCGAGCAATAATGAACATGCCTCATATTTTTTTTATTTATCTGTTAGCTCACACATGCAAGGAACCGTAGCAAAAAGTAGCAAAAAATTTCTTTTCTTTTGAGAAGTGCAAAAAGTAAAATCGCAGCAAATCTGTGGCTATTAAGATTTGCAAAAATGTATTTTTTATGGTCGCAACAATCCTAGCAGGAACCTTTGTATGTGTACATGCTTATTGAATGTTTTTTTTTCCGTATTTAATTGTGCAAATTCTCTCCATTGCTAGGAAACCATTTATAAAAGATGTAGAATCAAAGAACTCTAGATTTATGTGGAGGCCTCTTTTTCTAGGAGGATGGGTTTTACTCCTCATTTTACTCCTCTTTTATTCTTTTAGCGCACTGCCAATCTCCGCAAAAGATATGTATGCACCTTAGCACTCTTTTTATGGCATATGTTATTTGCCCGAAAATCAACTATTGGATGAAATTCAAAGAATTCTTCTTGTAAATCCCCACTCTCCAATGTTTCATGCTCAAAAGTGGCTGAGGGTGACAGCGTTCAAGTGCAAGCTGCCAATAATGAATGCTGTTAAAACTCTGGGGACTTCGCTGAAAGCATTTAGTCGTCAATTTGCCAGTCTCAAAGTGTTACTCTCTGAGAAAGTTTTCGGAAATTCAGTTTCTTCAGCTATGTTTACTGCTCATCATGCAAATCTGTTCGTAGACAGCTGCTTCGATCACAACGAGTGTAGTGAGGCGTCGATAGATAAATCACTGTTTGTCAGCCTCCACCTGGTTGCTCACTCACTTCTTGCACGCAGTAAAAAATTAAGATCTAGTCGAATATCTAAAGCCTTCTTATCAGAAATAAAGTTTTTATTGTGGGCTTTTCTGATGCTTATAAATTTGTGTGGCAGTTGCGGACTTTAGGAATAAAATTTTTGCGAAATATTTTTCAGTCGACAGTGGCAGAAACTGCTAGCTATATTTAACCACTATTTACCTATCGTTTTTTTTTGTATTTAGTCCAAGTGCTTTCTCTATATATGAGTATAACCCTGCCATCTTTCTTCTAATTATATCATACCTTCCGTCAATTCCTAGCATTGCCTAATGCAAATGCTTTTTTGTCCGCAAAATAATTGGAATTTGAGCAGAGGAGAACAACACTTTTTCAATAACCTAATATCCTCTAATGTTCTTCCAGCACTTTAATTCATTAGTAGTGACGACAGCTTCCGAGCCCGAACCAAACCATCAAGCAATTTCCATTCCATGCTGGGGTCCAATGTCCTCGCTATGTAGCTATCGTTTTTCACAAAAACAAATCTAATAGCTTATTTCTATTATGCTGTGTCTCTTTGGGACACGTGATCAACAATGTTTTCTTGAGGGTTTTTTGTACGCAATACATGAGTGGTAGAATTATGAAGCACATAAAAAATTTGACTTCATTCATTTTTGTTCCGCTTAATCTGGAGATGTTATTTAAATTTGAGGTCTCGAGTTTGTAGCCACTGAATAATAGAAGTTATGTTCATGATCCGTGATGAGGATCACCATCTGTTTGGCTTACTAGATTCATTTCATTTGACAACAGAAACCTACATAAGAGGAATTCCTTGCGCAGACGTTGAGTGTTAGTTATAACTCTTGCAGTACTATATTAAATACACCACAAATTTTATTACTTCCTACCTTGATTGTTTGGTCATTACTTCGTAATCGTAAGAATGCTCAATCCATTCATAAATTCTTGCTTTTGACAATGCTTTTCATTGTCCTATAGCAGCTTTCATAAAAAGCCATGAAAGGCATTTTTCTGCAAGTATCGGAAGCCACTGTCTCTCTAATGCAGATAAGGTTGTGCTACCATGTCGGAATGATCCAACATATCTTTCTTTTCTTGTAAGTTGGAAGGCCTCTTGTTTGGAACGCTTTCTTTATAATAATCATGAGCAAACTAATTATTATGAAGCAGCGCTGTCATAGCGACCAGTATCCTCAGAGTGAGCGTCATTCGTAATGAGAGCTCCAGCTTAGCCTCATAAATAAGCAATTTTGTCGGAAGGGTTTTTCCATGTTGCGATTTAGTGTTAATTAGTGGTGCTCAAAACTCATCTCTCACTAAGTTCATTATCAGCTGTTTCTTGTCCGTCGTATATCCTGCAACTTTTAGAGAGCACAAAGTCACATTAAGTTCGAAAAATTCTTTGATGACAACGGTTTCCAATTTGTGGAGCAAGCAAGGCGTCCAGGGTAGATTTTAGGTCGTTGGGGGGAGGGGGGAAGGAGGACTGAAAATTACCATATTTTGATTCCCTCGAAAATCGGCCATTGGTGTTGTTGAAAAACTGGCTTCAAGGAAGAAATAGAGAAAGGCTTCAATCTCTGGAAAGGCTCACAAAGCGCCAAATGTGAGAGTGCATGTAAAAAATCGTGTACGTTCTCGTGTTGTGGCCGTTGAAATATGATCGTAGCTAGAAAATGAGGCGAAGCCAAACATGGGAAGTAGATTACACGTACGGCTTCCGCATACATCGATCACTCTGACTGGCTTATAAGAGCAAGCATTTTCTTACCACCACCCCTGTATTCAGTTCTTCTTGAGTTTTTAGATGGGAATTGCTTTTGGGGAAAAATTTTTCATCTATTCGAGGTCTCTACTAGTCTTAGATAAATTAGTGCCATTTCGTTCACCGCCAGAATCAGCAGTTTTTACTTCGGTAATCTTTCAGTTTGAATTTCGATGAACGAGCTAAGCAGTAGCCTTTCGCGTTCAGTACATCACAGAACTCAGTTCTCAATAAAA